TCTTTGGTTCTAAAATGAGTCTCTTGCAGACAGCATATCGATGGGTCTTGTTTTTTAATCCAGTCTGTTAGCCTGTGTCTTTTGATTGGGGCATTGAGCCCATTTACATTCAGGGTAACTATTGAAAGATAGGAATTTAGTGCCATTGTAGTGTCTGTAAGGTGACTGTTACCGTATATTGTCTGTGTTCCTTTCTGGTCTATGTTGCTTTTAGGCTCTCTCTTTGCTTAGAGGACCCCTTTCAAGATTTCCTGTAGGGCTGGTTTTGTGTTTGCAAATTCCTTTAGTTTTTGTTTGTCCTGGAAGCTTTTTATCTCTCCTTCAATTTTCAATGACAGCCTAGCTGGATAGAGTATTCTTGGCTGCGTATTTTTCTCATTTAGTGCTCTGAATATATCCTGCCAGTCCTTTCTGGCCTGCCAGGTCTCTGTGGATAGGTCTGTTGCCAATCTAATGTTTCTACCATTGTAGGTTACATATCTCTTCTCCTTGGGCTGCTTTCAGGATTTTCTCTTTGTCTATGAGACTCGTAAGTTTTACTATTAGATGTCGAGGAGTTGACCTATTTTTATTGATTTTGAGAGGGGTTCTCTGTGCTTCCTGGATTTTCATGCCTGTTTCTTTGCCCAAATTAGGGAAGTTCTCTGCTATAATTTGCTCCATTATACCTTCTGCCCCCCTCTCTCTTTCTTCTTCTTCTGGGATCCCAATTATTCTAATGTTGTTTCGTCTTATGGTATCGCTTATCTCTCGAATTCTTCCCTCGTGATCCAGTAGTTGTTTATCTCTCTTTTTCTCAGCTTCTTTATTTTCCATCATTTGGTCTTCTATCTCACTGATTCTCTCTTCTGCCTCATTTATTCTAGCACTTAGCGCCCCCATTTTTGATTGTACCTCATTAATAGCCTTTTTGATTTCTACTTGGTTGGATTTTAGCTCTTTTACTTCTCCAGAAAGCGTTTCTCTAGTAACTTCCATGCTTTTTTCAAGCCCAGCTAGTATCTTTAAAGTGATGATTCTGAACTCTAGATCTGACATCGTACTAATGTCCGTATTGAGTAGGTCCCTGGCAGTCGGTACTACCTCTTGTTCTTTTTGTTGAGGTGATTTTTTCCATCTTGTCATTTTGTGCAGAGGAGAATAGATTAATGAGAGAACAAAATGCTAGCAGAGTAACCACGTCCCCAGAAAATATACTCTAAACAAATCAGAAAAGACCTGAAGTAGTGGGATAAGAAAGGGAAAGAGAGAAAAAAGAAAAAGAAAAAAAAGAAAAAGAAAAAGATAAAGGTAAAGACAAAAACAAACAAAACAAAACAACAACAACAAAAGAAAAACCAGAATGTGATCAAATATGATCTATATGGTATATAGATCAATGCCACACACTAGATTTGGGGTGTATTTTGGTCTTTTAGAAGAAAGTGCCTCCCAAAATTTTAAAGAAAGAAAAACTTATATATGTACAAAAATAAGGATTGATATGATGAAGGGATGGACTATGACTGTAAAAATGGAAATTATAAAAAATTTTATAAAAGGAATTGATAAGAAGTTGTTTGAAAAAAGAAAGAAGAGGATTTAAAAAAGAAAAAAGAAAAAGAAAAAAAAAAGGAGAGGATGTGATCAGGCAGGGGAATAGAAAACACCATGTACTAGAGATTTAGGGTATATTTTAATCTGTTAGAAGAAACTATCTCAAAATTTTAAAGAGAGAACAACTTATATATATAAGCCAAAAATATGGGTAACTACTATGAAGGGATAGAATATGACTCTAAAAATGAAAAATAAAAATGTTGTTTTTTTTTTAAAAAGGGATTGATAAGATGTTGGTTGAAAAAGGGAAAAAGAAAAATTCAAAAAGAAATAAAAAGACAAAAAGACAGTTAAAAAAAATTAACTTTAAAAGACTAAAGAATCATGGTAAAAAAGCCGTGAATTCTATGTGCAGTAGTCCCCTAGTGCTGGAGTTCTGCCTTTCTCACTGATCGGCAAACTTGGTCTTGGCCGGCTGTTCTCACTGATCTGGGGAGAGACCTGTTGCCGTGGTTTCCAAATGTCTCTGCCGGAAGTGGAAGTGCCCTGCCCTTGCCCCCTCCCGGCTAAGTAATCTGCTCGGGTTTGCTCTCCGGGGCTTTTGTTCCCTGTGAGCTTTCCGTACAGCTTTGGAGGCGGAGAGTGAAAATGGCGGCCTCCCAATCTCCGCCCCGGAGGAGCCGAGCACTCGGGGCCCCGCTCCTCAGTGAGCCCCCAGAGAAAAGCCGTCAGTCACTCCCGTCTCCCCGGTCTCCGGCCGCACTCCGTGCTCACCCGGCCTGTGACCGCACGTTTCTATCTCTGGCACCCGAGCCCGGGTGGGGTCTCCAAACCCAGCAGATCCCTGCGGTGCGCTCGCCCGCCGCTCCTCCCGGGGGAGGAAGGTGAGTCTCCCCGGATCTGCCGCTTGTTGGGTCCCTGCTGGAGGAGCAGGGGCCCGACTGGGCCGCGGATCACGGTTTATGGCCACCCCGAGCTGAGAGCCCGCGCCTGGGCTCCGCCTCTGCAGCCGGCTTCCCTGCTCCGATACCTGGGAGCTCTGCCACACTCAGGCACCCCCGGTCTTTCTGTGACCCCGAGGGTCCTGAGACCACACTGTCCCGGAGGGTTCCACCCCCCGCTTAGCCACCGGAGTGACGTCCCTCGGCGGAGCAGACTTTTAAAAGTTCCGATTTTGTGCTCCGTGGTTCTATCACTTGCCAGAAGCGGCTGACGGAGGCCCCTCCCCGGCCATCTATCCTCCCGAATATCGCCACGGATTCACTTCTCCGCACGTCCTACCTTCCAGAAAGTGGCCGCTTTTCTGATGAGAGAGCCGTTGCTCTTCTTTTCTTCAATCTCCCGTTGAGTTTGTAGGTGTTCAGAATGGTTTGATCCCTATCCAGCTGAATTCCTGAGAGGAGATGAAATCCAGGTCTCCTACTCCTCCGCCATCTTGCTCCGCTCCCCCAGTCACCAACTTTTTGATTATGATTTGCTTTCAGGGAAAATATACAATGGCCATTCTGATGTGATTACTGTAATCCATGTACTGCTCAAAGGAAGCAATATATTGACCATCTGCTGTTATACATCAGGCTACCGAGTGTAGTTAATGTGAGTCTACCTTGAGTGCCAGCTCCACTCTCAGGCTCCTGAATAAATCGGTTTTCTGGGTCTGCAAAGTGGAGGACCAGATTGGGTCCACCAAATATATCAAGAATGCCCATTCCCTATAAGTATCCTCCTTGCCTGCAATGCTCTTTCTTTTGTCACATTGGCATCTTTGGGTCAAGACCAGTGAGTGGGACTTCTATAGCCCCCTTTTACCCACTCTCAGCCAGTGTTGTTTTCTCCAGCCTCTAAAACTTCATAGCACATTATTTATACAAATCTGTCTTAGAACCTTATGATATTTTATCTTGCATTATAGTTATTTGCCCATGGACCTTCTCTTTGCCTAAACCTAAAACTCTGAGAAAGCAGACTCTTATTTTTCTTTGTGTGCCCCAATGCGCCCAACACAGCAAAGTGCTGAATGAACTAGAAGCATCCTGAGAGCATTGATAAGCATGGCAATTATGATGTGTGTGTGTATGTGTTGAGAGGTTGCAAAGGTGGTGCAAAGGGATTTTGCCAAGGGGAGATATACCCAGTCCTAATGTCATGGTGTGGGAAGACAAAAAGCTACAGAGTCAGACATAGAAAGAGAGCTCAGGTCTCTGGAATAAGAGCTACTCTTGTAGACACTGTCCTAAGCACTTGGCACACACCATCTCCCTTATCATCGTCATGATCCTATCATGCACGTGAAGTTTAACTCTCCCAATTTTATAGTTGAGGAAGCTGAGGCTCAGAGAGATCAAGAACTTGCTTGACATCAAGTAGGTAGCAGCTAGGCTAGCTTCATGCTCCATCTTCTTGACCATCATGCAAAAGCGTCCTGCTAAGCTTGGCCTTGGACCAGCTCCATACAAAGGGGGGCAGTTTAACCAACACCATTCAACAAGTTAGTGGCAGATGAATAAAGAGGAAAAGGACTTTGGGGTTCAGACTTCTCAGGGAATCTCCAATGGACTGCTTGTGGAGATGTGTCCTGCAGGATGATATTTGACCCTGAGCCACACCTGTATGTCATCCTGCATCAGGCCGTACTTCCATGTAAGACCACCTTTGTTCTGGCGCCAGGATTCACTAGGACTATCTTTGGAAATAGACCCTGCAGAGGAGTGCTTGTGAGTGGGTTAACTTGCAGAATAATGAGCTCCATGTCCCTGGAAGTATCTATGCAGAGTGACCACGCCTGGATCACAGGAATGGGCTTGTCAGGATAAATGTGGGTTGGGGAGGGCAAACCATATGATCTTTTTTTCAAATAATTTGAAAGATCTAAAAGTCTTTGATTTCATCTATTTTTTTTCCTTACAAAAAGCTATAATAAAAATGCAGCTAAGTGTCATGCCGTGGAAAGAGAAGTGGCAGGCTAGTCCTATTGAGCTGCTGGTGGCTCCCTAGGTGATTGGGGGCGGGTGGAGGGGGGGCGCTGCAAGTTGGCCAGGCTTTTCTTATTTGCAACTAGGGATAAACTGTCTTATATGACAAGATATGTTTGGAGGAGAACATCAGATTATAGATGTGAATGTGTTTTGATAAAATTGCTGAAAAGGCTGCATGGCACATTCTGCATTTTTTCTAGAGAGGGCAATTTTAAAAAGCCATTCTTACAACATGACTTGAAGGTCATTTGAAATCAAAATGGCAGAGAGGTCCCACTTGACAGAACTTTCACATTCAGTTGGAATCCTTCCCCTTGCCTGTAGCAGGCTGAATAATGTCCCCCTTCCCCAGATGTCCATATCCTACTCCCTGGAACATGTGAATACATTACTTTACATGGCAAAACATTTTTACATATGTGATTAAGTTAATAATCTCGAGATGGGGCAATTATCCTGGATTATCTGGGGCGGGGGGGGGGGGGTTCCAGTGTAATCACCAGGCTTCTTTCATAAGAGGGAAGCAAGAAGGTGGAAGGCAGGAGGAGGAGGTGGGACAAAAGGGGCAGAGGTTGGAGTGATACACTCTGAAGATGGAAGAAAAGGCCATGAGCCAGGGAATGCAGGTGGCAGCCAGAGGCTGGAAAAGATAAGGAAACAGACTCTCCCCGTGAAGTCTCCAGAAGGAGCACAGTCTTGCCAACACTTTGATTTAGGCTTCTGACCTCCAGATCTGTAAGAGAATAAATTTGTGTTGTTTTAAACCACTAAGTTTGTGGCAATTTTTTATAGCAGCCCTAGGAAACTAATATGATTTCCTGCCTCTCTTCCTCTCTTGCCTTCCTCCTGCCCTCCTCTCTGCCCCTCCCTTTTCTTCCACTTCCCCTGCAGGCTTCTCCCTTCCCCTTTCTCTCCCTCTCTGGCCCTCAGCCTCTTCCTCCCATCCTTGTCTCCCTCCCCTGCCCACCTTCTCCCCTTCTAGCCTCCCCTTTTGGGAGTAAACAAACCAAGTAGTAGTTAGAAAAAGACCTGATGATTTAATAGATTTTTTTTTTTTGGTTTATGGGATTTTTAAGTTTTCTGCTGATTATTATAAGCTCTTGGTGAAGAGATTAATTCAGTTACCATGATTTGTTTCCTTGTCTTGACTTCATAAAATCACAGGAATACAATAATATAGTTATACAACCCCTGGGCTTGAAAATGCCCAGTAATTACAAGTGATTCATGAGAACAGCTTAACTTGTAAGGGATTGTATTGTGCTCCATAGTAAGCAGTCATTTATTAAGTTTTAAAAATGCCTTTGGAAAGGATATAATGGGCCCATCAATTAAAAGTATGTTTGGAAAAAACTCTGGGGCTCTCAGTAGTAATTCTTCTTCCCCCCAACTCCCCTTTCCAGGGCTGCCAACTTGTGTGTGGCTCCACCATGCGTGCCCTCCCCTCCTAATGCTTCTTGATGATGGTGGTTCCACCTGAGGAGAGCCCTGCAGGCCTTCCTCAGAACCGAGTGCAGCTCCGATGGCCAGGGGCCTTCCAGGGCCCAGGGACTGTGGTTCTCCTTCTCAGCCTGGCCATCCATCATTTCATTAGAGTGAGGCTCCCAAATTGACAGGTCCTGGAGAAAGTGCCCGATACCGCTGTGGAGATGCACCGGGTCTGGTTAGGCCGTTGGGTTGCTGCGCCCTTACTGATGCTCAGCCCTGCCCCTGACAGATGGCCCGGAGGGATCTTCTGGGAACTCAGCGTTCTGGTGACAACTGGTGCTTCCAAACACACAACTTCTAGAAGTTCTCCTCCTCCCCTGCCCTAGAAGAGGCCTTTGCATTCTTAACATGAGTGGGAGAGGTTGCTTTTTCCTCCTCTTTTTGCAGAACAAAGCATGAAAAGCCTGTGCCCCAAGCTTCCTTTCATGGGAACATGCACAGCTTTCTGTTCCCCAGACTAGGCTTACAGACGAAGTCCTTGCTTTTTCCTTCCTGGGACCAACTAAGGCTGCATCCTGGCGGCCCCACTGGTTCCTCTGTGCCTCTCGCCACCTCTTCATTCCTGTCTTTGTGTTCCCTCGCCTTGCTAGCTAGTACTTTCCTGGGAGGCAGTCTGCCTCTTCCCTCAGCTAATCTTCCTGTCCGAGTTCTGCCTCCTGTGGTTTCCTGAGGGTCCTGGCTCCCTGCCTGCTTCCTGGCCACGTAGGGCTCTTCCTGGTCTTTTTACTGCTTGCCCACCACCCTGCCCTCGGACTTCTTCCGCTCCGCTCTCACTCGGATCCATCTCTTCCATCCTGAAGCACTTCTTCACTTAGTACTGAGGCTGCCAAGTATTGGTTGATTTCTGTCTCTCCTCAATTTCCTCTTACATCCCTGCACCTTACATCTGGCTCCTATCCCCAATATTCCACTGAAAACTGCAGTCAGTCTTGCTGTCTTGCTCACCTCCTAGGCAAATTCTCTGCTCGATCCTGAACTACTCTTCTTGGTTCATGCTGTATCGGATGCTGCTGATTACCAACCCCCAACACACACCCAATTTAAAACTCAATTTGTCACCTAGTTTCTAGGCTTTCTGTCTCCAAAATCCTCCACATTCTCTCATCTCTGTTTATTTCTTCCTTCTAAATTGTTATAATTTATCTTGTATTGTCGATGACTACTACAGTTGATTCTACATTATCTATATTGGTCTATCTCTCACCAGGTCCCAGTACCCATGCTCTGGGTTAGTGATTCTGGTGCTTGCATACATGATTATTTTTTATCTTTCTAACTTTGTTCATATATTTTATTCATTCAGAAATATTTACTGAGAACTGATTATGCACTGAACACTGTTCTAGTGGGGATATAGTGGCAAATAAAGTAGATGGATTACTGCCTTCATGGAGCTTGGAGTCTGGTGTGGAAAACCAATGTTAAACAAAGAAGTATACAAATAAGGGCTAAATTTGCAGATGTGGTAAAGGCTTTGGAGGAGAGGAATGTGGTAGCCTGAGAGAATAACATCGGCAGGGGGTAGGTAGGGCAAGGGATCTAACTAATTAGGGAGGTCAGAGGAAGGGAAACTTAAGATGAAGTCTGAAGTTTTGGTTAGGCTTTAACTAGATGCAGGGGGAGTTTTACGAGCAGCAGAAACAGCATGTACAAAGGCCCTGTGGTGCAAGAGATCGAGGGACTTGGTAAGAAAGGGCTAGAGGTGAGCAGGGACTGGATCATGCAGGGTTTACAAACCATAATGAGAGGTTTTAAGGGAAGTGGAAGAGGAGGGCACGGTCAGACTTGTGTTTTGAAAAGACCATGTTCATTTAGTCCATTTTCACAGAGTCAATTCTCTTTCATGCGGCACACATTTTTGAGACACACCAGAGAAGAGAGTCAGCAGACTAGTTATTGTGAACTTTAAGTCTGGAGAGTTTTCAATGAAGATGCATAAGGCCCCAGGGAACTGGCCTAACAGATGTTGTCAGCAGGGCAGAAGGGGTGAGAAGTGCTTTGGTTTAGCCAGATTCCTCTGGGGACCTCTGTTAGACTCAGCTTCTCTGGCTGAGTTACATTGCCCTGATCTGATATTCAAGAATAACAGCTGGGACTGAGAGGAGGAGGTGGTGGTAGCTGTGTGCAGGTTGCTGTGGGTAATTGGAGGTAAAAAAGGGAGAAGTGGCTCACCTAATTGCATTCTAAATTACAGCCATTGTTCAATTCCTTTCTTAAAAGTACTTGGTGCATTCAAGAAGAAAAGTCCTTTCTGAGGTGGGAAAACAATGGCGGTGGGGAGCAGAGAGGGGCTGGATGCACAAATCCTCCCTTCCCCTCACTCAAGGTGCTCTGTTTGTAAGTGAGGTTTTGAGTGGCTGGCTCGATTATATTCACTGTGTGCATGCTAACGGTAATAAACTTAGAAAACGGAAACACATGAGTTTACAGTAATTGTTTTTTAGATAGTGTAATAAGTCATGATAATTGCTTGCAAAGCATTTTCCCCCTCCTTGTCTACAGGGGTAAATACATTAAAGCCACGTTCTTGTATACTATTTTACAATGTATTAGCATAATAACCCATTGTAAAGTAAGCCCTGCTGCTGTGGGGAAGTGTGGGATATTGGTCCATTAGACACCTTTGTCTTCGATACAAGAAGCTAATGGCACTATTTATGGGCATCATCTTAGCTTGGTATATGCTTGTTGCCAGCTAATAGATCCAGAGCAAGAGGTGCTGTTTGATAAAAGTTATCCAACACTAACAATCCACTGTGAATCTAGCCTCTTGCTTGAAAATTGCTTTTAGCCCCATGTGAATGGGAAAGGCATCTTGATAAATTTAGCTGCTAGTCAAGTTATAACCAATGTTCACAGAATGTAATCAAATTAGATCTTAAAGCCTTTAATTTCATCATTAACATGTATTATTTCTTTCTCAAACCTTGTAATTAAATAGCATATTAAGAATAGACAATTTTTTTCCCTTTTATACATTTATTAGGTATCTGGGGTTAAATTTGGAGCTCTGTTATGATGCACATCTGCTTATTTTTAAATGAGGATGGCTTTTTTAATTGAAGTATAATTGACAATACAATATTATATTAGTTTCAGGTGTACAACATAGTGATCCAACATTTATTATAGGATGGCTCTAATGATACCTGAAGCATTAGAAAAGTAACTGGTTAACTAAACCTAGGGAATTTGTGGCACATAAGATATCATTATGTTTACCCAAGCACTGCTATAATCTGAGAGTTGTATAATTAGCCAAATTATACAGAGGGCAGTTAGACACTCATTATTTACTTTTCTTGGACATTTTGTGGGTTTGTACAAAAATCTTCATGACCCACACGAGATTCATCCTGAGATTTACATCTGGTTTACCATAAATCAAGAATTTCTGAATAAATGTTCTTTTCTTCTTCATATTTAGCACTGAGAAATCCATGGCTTTGCAGTTATGAAGCAGTGATTATTGTGGAAAGTGGAGGGCACATGGGCCGCACGCAGAGGCAAGAGCAGTGATTCTATGATGCTGAGGGCACAGGTGGACACGGGTGCAGCCAGGTGGGCTGACCTGAGTTTCTGAGCCGTGTCTGGTCTAGAGGCTTCCTCTCCCTTCAGTTGTCCCTCTTCCCATCTCACTCAGGGCCTGCTGTTGGGATTGGCCAATCAAATTCCCAAGAAGAAGGCAGCTCAGTGGCTCTCAACCACTGAGGAGAGATTTAAAAATTATGGATGCCTGCCCCCACCCTCTTCCTATGCCTCATTCCGATTTAACGTGTGACCGTAGTTGTATTCACTGTAGTTGTTCCAACAGGGGTGGAAGATAGGAGTGGCAAGAATCTGCTGCCTCACTCTCAGCTTCCATGGAGCCTAGATTTACCTTCTCCTGGAAGTCACTGGTGACTCATCACACTTGACATACAAAATAATGCAAATACATCATCCCTGGCTTAAGAAGTTCCTTTATAGGTATCATCGGTAGAGAATTCGCTCGTTACTTTGCAAATATTTATGAAAATTTACTTGGTGGGTGCCAGGCACTCTGGCAGGAGTCTAGGGATATAATAGTGAAGAAAAGAGGTTTTTTTGTTTTGTTGTTCAACTCATATGGAGATCTGGGGTTGGAAATTAATGGGGGGGAATAACAAAAGAAAAACAAAGGAAAATGCATACAAAATGGCAGGTTGCTTCCTAGGAAGGAAACAGACATGAAACTAAGATGGAGAATGGCAGTTTCACATCTTG